CAGAGGCACGTAGTAATTTTTAGTCGGGTTGAGAAAAATAGAGAGATTCTTACGGTGACGGCTTCAAGAACACCGGGGTTCTCTCGGAGGTACTTGACGATCCACGTCAAGACGCTTGCGGTGGTGTCACGTGCTGCGAAGATTACGCCGATGATGTTGTCGGCGATTTGGTCGTCAGTGAGGCCTTCGATGTCGCCCATGAAGGAGGCAAGGAGGTCGTTGTGGGTTTGGCTCTGCTGGGCCTGCCTTCTAGTGGAGATGATCTTGGCCAAGATCTGGGACAACTCCTTCCTGGCCTTCATCGCTTTGTGGAAGAGTGTACCGGGAAAGTTTATGGGCATTGAATTGTATCCCTTCTCTAGTATGAAGTAGCACCTCTTCAAATCCTCCCTGCATAGCTCTTGGTCTTTTCCAAATATTGAAAGTAGTGACACGTTGAAAGCAAACTGCAAAAAAATTAAAAAAAAAAATTAAAAAAAAAATCACAGGATCAAGCCAAATGTTGTAGTTGGATTTACAAGTGATGAGTAATTAAGAAGATGAAACAACAGGGTGTTATAAGCTCACCGTCTTCATTTCATGGAAGGTGTTGACCAAACGGCCTTGACAAGATTGAAGAGAGTCTTTGGCGATGGTTTCGATGTTGGGGATGATGTTCTTGACGGCTTCAGGCATGAAGGCGCGAAGGACGAGCTTCCTCAGCTTGGCGTGGTAGTCGCCTTGGTGGAAGAAGATGGCCTGTTTGCCCAGCATCCTCTCTTTGCTGGCGGGGAATGTGGGCTTGAAGAGATGGGATCTCGTGACGAGCACGAATTTCGCGGCCTCCGGGCTCGAGATCATGACACAAGGGCACCCCAAGATGTGAGTCTTGAAGATGGAGCCATACCTACAATTCAAAAACAATCCAATACCATTTAACCACAACTGAATTTCCTCCTCTGTTTTTGAGGCAAACAAGACATTTGGGTAAAAATGGTGTATAAATCCTTGGTTGTGCAAAAAGGGGAATTTCGTTTTACCTCCTCTGTTTTGAGGCAAAGAAGTCATTTGGGTTTTGGGAGTAGAGTTGGAAGGTCTCCCCTATGTATGGCCAACCCAAGGAACCCGGCGGAAGCGGCAAATTTGCGCCTTTCGATGAGATGGATTTCAGGAGGGAACGGATTAGAAACAAGATGAAGAAGAAAGCAAAGAAGAAGCAAGGGACTATGGAGAATTCCATTTGATGAGTTGATAATAACAATTAAAAGGAGTAGTGAAAGGGAGTGATGAGAAGAAGTGAAGAAGTGAAGGTTATATTTATAGGCATATTTGATCGAGAGACTGTAACAAAAAAAGAGGGAAGGAAAGGAGGAAGAAAAAGAGGAGAAAGGGAAA